GGCATGGCGTTCTGGTGACTTTGAGACACATATTTCTGGGGACAGCTAGAGTGTTTAGCCATTCTGATCCAGCAGACTCATTTTGAAGCAGAGGGAATAACCCTGCTTAAATTCTTCCCCAGTCCCTGGTCCCCAGTCCCTGGGTCTCCTTCCAGGTGTGTTGGGTGCCAGGATAGGCTGTAGGCTTCTCTGATGCACAGGCATAGTCAGCCAAGGTTTGGGGAAAAGTCACCTCCAGTGTATCATAGGCCTGACCTTGTCCATCTGACCTCAGCCCCCACTCAGTGCACACCTGCCATCTCCACAAGCTTTGTGGGGTGGATGGCAGGGGGATGAGGAAGAGGGACTGAAGCTGGGGGTGTCCTCCTCCCCGCCTCCTGGAGTTAGACCAGGAAATGGCTGTCCCTTTCGGCATCATTAGGGAGGCCAAGCGCTGGGAGAGGCCCTGGGAAGGGAGCCTGGGATGCTGATCCCCAAAGCCCTGTTCCTCAGCTGCCCACCCCTCCAGCCAGCTGGGGCTCCTTGAGCTGGTGGCCAGCTGGACAGGGACAAGAGAGCAGTGTGCAAGAAACAGGGCTCCCTAGGCATGGCTCAGCAGGGAGGGGGTTCCTGGGGAGCTGGAGAGGGCTTCCTGCAGCTGTCAGGTGTGTCTGGGGGCCGTGGCGAGGGGGGTGTAAGAGCAGCTGGCACCCTTCGAGGAGGGCCAGGGAGAGCATTTGTCAGTTCTGGAAACACGGGGGCCCCACGGGGGCTTGATGGAGCGTCTCTAGGCCCCTTACTCTGAGGCTGTGGTCTGTGTCCGGAATGTTATATAGGAGACATCCTACAGCTTTGGGGTGGGGGCATCCCATCAGGAGTCTCAGGGCATGTTTGTTTGTTTTGAGGGGGTTCGGGAGCTTGGCCACCTGGTCTGGGTAGGAGGCACCCTGGGTGTTTGGGCAGCAGACAAGGCAACCCTGGGGGAGGGGGTGGGGATCCTCACCCCACCCTACCCTTGCTCTTGGCCGGGCTGCCCCACTCTGGCAGGCTGCCGGCCTCCTATTTCCGTCGGGCACCAGGGTAACAGGGCCACATTAGGGTCTGAGCCAGGAGACGCCCAGCCAAGGCTGGGACTGGGGAGTGGGGGAGGGTCTCTGAAGAGTCATCTGCAGGGCCCAGCAGAGCCTCTGGGGCCCAAGCCTCCCACTCAGGCTGTGCTAGTCCCCACGTCCCCACACAAGCCCGTGTGGGGGTCTACAACCCTGCTTTGTACATGCTGTTTGAGTCACATAGCCCGAACCCCCCCAAAGTCCCAGGAGTTGTCTGCGACTGTGAGGGCTGGGGTAGAAGCCAGAGACAGGAGCCTTGTGTATGGGGAGGCAGGGGGGCCAGCGCGGGTGGCTGGGAGGAAGAGTCCCCCCCATTCCTGCTGCCCTCTTGGCAGTGATTCAGAAAGGTCCTTTTTCAGCCAGTGTCAGAGCTGCTCAGCTGGGGAGGGAGGGAGGGAGGGAGGGAGACAGGAGGGAGGGCAGGCAGGCAGTCGGGTGGGGAAGCCGGGGAGTAGGGCTGGACTGTTACCACTGCCCTGGAGAGAAGACAGAAACAGGACAGAGGATCCCGGCTGCAGCCGGCGTGAGGAAGGCTCCTCCGCTCCCTGCCAGACTGGCCAGCTGTGGAAACCCAGCCGGGCTTGCAGCAGAGCACAGGGGCCCAGCCTGTTCTTCCGCATTTCCCACCCCCGGTGTGGGATTTGGGGGGCTCCTGGGCGGAGTGCGAAGCTCATAGCCGAGGCCCCTGCTCACCCGCTTCCTGGGCCGGATCCCCAGCGACTGTTCAGGGGATCCTGCTCCGTGGCGATGCCGGCGGCACGTCGGTTCCCTGGCCTGGAGCTCTCCTTCCCTCTCCTGGCCAGACTGCGGCGACGGCTGTACACAGTGAGTGGGGTGCGGGGGTTGGACTGCTGGGGACTGTTGGGGCTCCTCAGCACCAGCAATTGACTGAGAGGCAGACAGCAGGACTGGGAGCGGCTGAGGGACCCCGCCAGTGAGGGCTCGACGGGGGTCCGGGCCAAGTGGCCTCCCCTGTGGCTGCTGTGTTCATTCTTGTCGGCCTGTGTGTTTGCACGCCAGCCACGGAGTAATGACGGACACCGGTGTGCAGACTCCGCGAGGTGCTGGGGGCCAGGCCTGTGCAGAATTGGAGAGTGTTTGAACTCCAGATGAGCCGCAGCCATGGAAGAACCGTGGGCTGGAGGGGGACTTAAAGGGAGGCGGACCCCTGCAGAGTCAGCCTGGACTGAGACCCTGACTGCTTCCCTCACTGGGATCCCGGAGTTCCTTCCCATCCTCCCACATGCATCCCCGGTGCAGAGCAGCGCTGTTCCTGGTCAGGGAGCACGGAGGGGAGTGCACAGCTGAGCAGAGGTGTGTCAGCTGGTGTTTCAGGGAGAGGGAACAGGCCGGGCTGTGCTTTCTGAAGAGCTTCAGGGGAGGGGCCTCTGGGTCTCCTCCAGCCCTGACCACCCAGGGCATGGCTTTGAGCTGTTTTCAGGAGCCTGGAGGAGGGGCCTGGAGACTGCCTGCCCTGCGGGAGACTGGGATCCCCCATCCTGAGACTGAGCCCTGAAGGGGATGGGGTCACTTTGCTCCAGGGACAGGGCAGCAGTGGCTGGGCCGTGGCCAGGTGGAGGGGAGATGCTGCCTAGGCCAGTGCCTCCCAGTGCACCTCTGGACTGGCTTCTGGAAAGCACCGGCACCTGGTCCTCTTAAAGCCCACGTCCCTTTTTTGTAAACAGATTATTTTGTTGAGAATAAATTAATTAATACAGCTTAATACTTAGAACTGTTCCTCGTATATAATAAGTGCGGTTGAAGTGTTAGATATTAATTTAGTTTAGTTTAGTTTGAGATGGAGTTTTGCTTTTGTTGTCCAGGCTGGAGTGCAATGGGACAATCTTGGCTCACCACAGCCCCTGCCTCCCAGGTTCAAGTGATTCTCCTGCCTCGACCTCTCGAGTAGCTGGGATTACAGGCACGCGCCACCACACCTGGCTAGTTTTGTGTTTTTAGTAGAAACCGGGTTTCTCCATGTTGGTCAGGCTGGTTTTGAACTCGGGTGATCCGCCCGCCTCAGCCTCTCTAAGTGGGGATTACAAGTGTGAGCCACCGCGCTCAGCCTAGATGTTACTTTTATTGTTACTCGTCTTAAACAAAATTAATAGAAATATGTAACCTGTTATGTTAACCTGTTAACCTGTGTACAGTGAAACAATACAGTGGGAACTGTAGTATAAAGAGACATAAGAAGAAGCTAATTATAACATTTTATGTATCTTAATACATTAGTAATCTAGACAATGTAATGAGGAGTCAGCTCCTGAGACCTCAGGCGGAAACACCGTGAGGGCAGCATCTGCAAGTGCTGACCGAGAGACGAGTTTTGAAATAATGAGAGAGGGTTGCCTTCACTGACATTTTTGCAAATAGTGGACTTCCGCTATGTTCTGAATAAAGCAAAGTCCATTTTCCCTTAAGTTTACGCAGTAGTTTCATTCCAGGAAAATTTGTTTTATATTAAACCCGTAAGGCCAGGAGCGGTGGCTCACACCGGTAATCCCACCACTTTGGGAGGCCAAGGCAGGTGGATCACTTGAAGTCAGGAGTTCGAGACCAGCCTGGCCAACATGAAGGAACCCTGTCTCTACTAAAAAGACACAAATTAGCCGGGTGTGGTGGCAGGTGCCTGTAATCCCAGCTTCTCGGGAGGCTGAGGCGAGAGAATTGCCTGAACCCCGGAGGCAGAGTTTGCAGTGAGCCAAGATGGCATCATTGTACTCCAGCCTGAGTGACAGAGTGAGGTCCTGTCTCAAAAAAAAAAAAAAAAACTATAAAAGTACTTTCTTGTTTATATATAAAGTGGGATCAGATTCTAGGTTTGCATGATCATAAACACCTTCATGAATTGAGTTGTGTGGGATTTGGGACAGTGCGAGAATGTCCTATGCATTGCAGGCTAGCTCACGTTCCTGTCCCCCAACCACCCCCAAATGTCGTGACAATCAAAAATGTCCCGTGGGGGTCTGTGCAGCCCTCGTGAAAACCATTCCAGTAAAGGGTTACGGCTTTAAGTTCGGAAACCACCTGGCCGGCCCAGCTGCCTGGCCCAGTCGCCGTGGAGGAAGCGCCAGGACTTGAACTGAGCGTTTCTCATTCCCCTTTGTTACTCTTTGTACTTCCCTGAGCTGCCTGAGAGTCGGAACTGGCACTGTGTTGGCAGGGCCACTGGGAACTGTGGGGGCAGGAGGCTCATGCTGGGCCCGGGCTGTGTGTGCCTGCGTCTCCGAGTGCCGCTCACTGTGATGGGAGCTGGGGGGGAGGCCACCGCTGAGTTGGGGAGGGGGATGGCTTGGTCCCCAGCCGGGCAGCTGGCCTTTTTTCTCTTGCCTGTTTGCCTCTTTGGGGATTGAACATGGGTCAGGGGCTAGCCTGGCCACGCCCTCAGCTCTGAACAGCCTTCCTCAGACCGGGGTGGGTTTGCTGTGCGGTGACAGACCTTCCTCAGACAGGGGTGGGTTTGCTGTGCGGTGACAGACCTTCCTCAGACAGGGGTGGGTTTGCTG